GAAAGGGGAAGAGGAGATGCTCTCTCGGGGCTTTCCCCTGCCTGGATTAGAGTATCCCCAGCCAGTGAGAGTTACCGACGGGTCCTGGCACCCCGGAGCCGGGTGCATCCCCACCTACCCCAGCCAGCTCTTGCCTTCTCCCTCCCGCCTGCGCTGCCTGCTCCCGATGCGAGCTCGCAGGAGCGGTGGGATATAGCCGGCTCCCGAAGCTCTGCGCGGAGTTAAGGGTTGGTTACTCCTCGCACTGTTGCTTTTCACTGCCCCAGTGCTGCCCGCTGGGGAGGGGCTCAGCGCTGCTGATTGTCACCGGCTTGCTGCCACATAAATCACTTTTTTTCTCATTTTTAAATTATTTTTTGAATGAATGGGGCTGAGGAGGGGTGGTCTGGGCTGGCTCCAGTGGGGTCCTGGGCTCGCCTGTACGGGCAGCTGCTGTCCCGGAATATAAGAGTAGAGTCCACCCTGAGTACGTGGCGTCCTGCACCTTTGAGCAGAAGAGGCAAAACCCGGCAGGACACGAAAGATTCCAACAGCCCAAGCTTTACATAACAAAGACTAAAAGAAAGGGGGGCGGGGAAGGAAAGACACTCCCCGCCCTTCCTTGCTTCTTACTTTGCGGTCCAACACGGTTCAATGAGGTTCTGGCGGCCGGTGCCAGGGAAGGCGATGTGCTGCCTCTCGGGTGTTGATTTGAGGGTTTGTGTCCCGTTTTTGTGCCCTGCTGAGGGGGAGCTGGCTCCAGGCTGGAGCGGCAACATTCCTCCCGGCGGCAGGTCCGGGGAAGACCTTCTCACGAGAGAAGTGTGATGGTGTGGAGGAAAGAAAGGATAAGAGAAGAAATCCGCCCGTGTCCGCCTGCCAGAGGTGCTGTCCTCGGCCATTCATTTTAGCAGAGTTTGTTTTCCTTCACGCCCCTTTCTCGCGGGAGTGAAGCCCACTGGGAGCAACAGGTTGCTTCAGCCACTCCCGGGACCTCATGAAACCATTGTCCCTTTCCCCTTCGCACCCCCCGCCCCGGGACACGCTTTGGATGGGGATGCGGGCGTCTCGCCTGCGGAGTGTCACGCATAGATCCCCTGGGCAGCTTCCGCGGAGGAGCAGGAGAATGATGATGCTGAGGATGCTGTGCCCTGAGTACAGCCCTGCGGTACTTCTGCTTCCCTCATCTTCCCATCCCTGGGGCCCCGGCCAGGCGTTTGAAGCCCCAGAGTGTTGCCAGGGGCTGATCAGTCTGGAAATCAGCTCTGTGTATAAATAGCTTTTTTTCCCCCCGATTTCGAATGAAGGGACAGGAGGGTGCCCCAGCGCAACTTTTTTGGAAGTGAGCAGAAAACCTGGGTTTTAGAGAGGCAAGCGAAGTTTTTTCAAGGAGCACACGGGACTCACCTGCTCCTTTAACATTAATTTGCTGAACTAACTTAAATATTTATCCGCTAAAGCAACTAAACGAGCAAAACCGGGAAGTAATTGAGAGTTAAAACTGAGTGCAAACTGCGGTACCAACACAATCCAGCCACTGAGGGTTTTGCATGAGCAACCACATGGCACAAGTTCCCATGCTGTAGATGACCTAGGAAAATGGAACAGGTACATTCTGCTTCACCAGGTGCCTTTTCTCTCAACCTAGGGCCTTTAGGGCTAGGTACTGTCATTGCTGGAGCTCCTCAGATCATCCCTATGAATAAAGCATTGGTGTGGTAAAACTGTGCTTCAGCTTTTTTGGATTACTCAGGGAGCAGTTGAATGGTCTCAAATACAAATGTCTGTGAGGATTTTTTTTTTTAAAGCACAATAAACCTATGCTGAAAACACACAGCACCATTGCATTTAGAAAAAGATATCTATCCACTATAAGCATGTCAAGATCTGAGTGTTTACTGTAACTTGCCCACTTTTTCTATCGTACATTTCATTTCCTGAACAGAAAAAACCCACCGAATTTTAAGGAAATAGTCGCATTTGCAACTCAGTCATATAATTGGAGTATTTTCTGGGCAATTCTGACTGCTCACATGTCGTAGGAAAAAGCTTTCGCATCTGAAACATTGGCAAGTATTTTGCCAACAATCCCATAGTTGCAGTAGGTTGCAGTTTTACAGTGCTACCAAAAATAAATACAAATAAGTTTAATTTGACATTTATTATTAATTTTTCATCAATAACATTGTCAAATGAAATCCAGAAAACAGTATGCTGCCTAAGGTACTTCACCGTGACCTGCCTGATCAAACATTAGAGCTAATATATTTGTTCTAGGAAGGGTTACTTTTCTTTAGACAAAGATTCACTGCCTTCACTCCATCCCCTGCCCTCAAATACACTGATGCAACAGCACATACCCTGAATACAAAACACAAACTTATGCTCTGGCATTAAGTCTCTACACGGGGAGTTTTGTTTGAATTAAAATTTCGAAACTGAGCCCATAATAAGATATGCCATGAAACCTCAAACAACCTTCCTCCCCCAGGGATATTTATCTTACACATTTAATTGCCCAGTAAAATAAATTCTGTATGTGTACACTTTGGAAAGGATTTTGATCTGGTAATTTGGTGTATCTTCTGATCTGTGGCAGCTTAGAATAAGCCTGTACTAACATCCTTAGAAACTGTACAGAAGCAGAAACTGTGCCCTGTTAAATAATGCCTATTCAGCTGCTAAATATTTACACATAGGCAGGAATGAGCTTTCCTTGTAATGCTATCTCTTAACTATATATTAACATTCAAGAAGAAAAACAAATGCAAGTCATTTAAGCATAGGCCAAATCCTTCATTCTGCTAAAGCAAATAACAGCTCTACTGACTTGCATGGAGCAGAATGGGGCTCCTTCATGTTACCTTCATGTCATATTAACGTTGTCTTTTTTATAATGACTTCCCTTTTAAAACACTCGCTACTGTATAATAAGCTTCAACAAACCCTCGAGAGGTACAGTGTTATTAGTTTATCTGCTTTACAGATAAGTAAACTGATGCAAGGTGAAGATAAAGAATTTCCCCAAGGTCTTGCAGCTGGCTTGCTGGAGATCAAGGGAAGGAAAGGAAACTTCCCTTTTGTGACTGAATTTACCACCAGACCAGTATCTGCTCCTCCTACTGCTACTGCTGAAGACAACATGTCCTATAGCCAGGAAAGCTATATTAAGAGGAGCAGCAGGTGTTCAGGATCTCTATAAAACAGGTCATTTCCAACCAGGTGCCTAACTGTGCTCTTTGGTACCTAAACTTTGGCACCCACATTTGAAACTCTCTGTTTCACTAACGATGCTTTGGTGTTGCATCCATCCTAATAATTCCAAGACATGTTTAAAAAACAAAGCCTGGTATTACCCACAGCAGGGTTTAAATAACATCTACTTTGATATGTCTAGGCTAACATTGGAACTGCTGTCTGCAAGGCATATATTTTAAAGTGTTGACTAATTGCAAAAAGCCGTATTACTGGAAAATGACTGGTGGAGGCTCTGATGTCCATAACAAAATTAATCTGCACAAAACCCCCCTTTAAGTGACTTTTTTTTTTTTTAACAAGAAACTTCCAAAGCTCTGTAGTCTTTAATCTAGCCCAGCTTGCATACAGCTGCAATACATTTAGCCTTTAACATCAGCTCTAACTATTGTCCTAGCACATGCCTACACCCCACAGCATTTCATGGTATTAACAGCAATGCATTATGGCTAGAGCAACTTGTGAATAAGACAAATCACTCAGTGGAGAGCAAACCAAAACAAAATAGTGAACAGCATGGGGCTTTTTCCATGACAGCCTATACTATGGTTTGTTTGGCTCAGTTGTGTTTATTTGGTGTCTTGCCTGCCTCCCTGACTGCTATGGAGTAAAACCTCTGGAGGTGAGTGAAAGAGCAGGCCATGCACTGGATAATCCGACATAATCATTCCATGTAGCCATTGCAGGAGTACCAACCCGCTATATGCATAATCTGATGGCAGTCAAGAGTTGATGCAATTGCTCTTATGCTAGCCTCCTCCCTATGTCAAAGGGAAATGAGGGTGTGGTTAGAGGATGGAGGTTGTGGGTGATGTGCATCCACATTTCAGCCATACTAGGGATCTTCAGTCAGGTGTCTATTACAGCAGCTGCAGACACCTCCACATCAAAGTCAGCTCACAAGGACAAGCCAACTGGATGGGCATCCAGACTGTTGCATCGCACCCAGGAAACCTAACAATTACTCAGACAACAGACAGCAAACTTGCTATTTTCCAAAGGGTGGTATTACCGTACTGATGCAATGGCACTTTTCCAGCTTCAGATGGGAAATTTGTGCAGAGGAAGCTTGAAGTCATACTTGCAAATGTGGCATAAGAAGAACAAAGCAAAGCACCTATAGCGGTTAGGTCCCCACCCCTAGGCACACACCATCCCTCCCTCCCTCCCCCTTCCTCCACGGCCGCTCTTGTGATGTCCACTTGGGAGAGGCGCAGGGTCACCAGCAGCCGCCTACCCCGCTTACACCACGCAAGTGTAAGCGACTGCAAAGTCCCAGCGCTTTTGCAAATGAAATTAGGCCTGGGCTGGTAAGCTGCTCCCTTAACACCACCCACCCTGGAGCAGAGCACTCTGACTACACGGAGCGGGAGCCAGGAGAGACAGGAGCCCTGCAGCGAAAGGCCTTACATGTCTGTTCCTCAGTCTTTGGCGCCCCTGTGTGTCTCCTTTGGGGGAAACTCAGCGGCAGAACAACCTCAGACTTTATTTCTCCAGCACCAGAAAGGCTGTGCTTGAACGTGGTGGAGCTCTGCTCTGGACAGCACTGCCCAACAGCCTGACCCTGATTTGAGCTCTGCGATTTCCACTCCTTACCTGTACTCCTTTTATATGCTGGAATCACCCTCTTAGGCAACTTTATCCGAAGTGATTAATGTTTTTAAAGCACCACTTCCTGGAGTCATGGCGTTTATCACAATCTTTTTTTAAGTCCCTGTATCTCCCAGTGCAGGCTGTATCTCCCTGTATCTCATGAGGTGCAGGCTGTAAATAACCTTGAAAATAAGAAACAGAAATAAAACATTTCAAGTATTTTAGGCACTCAAGGAGTCAGATTTACAAATTGGACAGGCAATATGGTACTTGTGGGAAATACACATCTGTATGTCTCCATCAGGATTGCTCTATAAACCTCTGTGTTCTTCTAAGGTGAAGGCAGAAGCAGAGAAAGTTCAGTATAAAAACTTAGGAAAATCCTGAGACAAACTGTAAATATTTTTTTGTGAGGTAGATGGTGTTATTTATTCTGTATCTGCAAGATAACTGGGACACAAAGGAATTAAGTGAGTAGCCTAAGGGAGAGACAGCTGGACAGAGAGGAAGGAAACCTAACCAGCCTCAGTTTTGAGATTTACTCTGTCACAGGTCCCGCTATAAACGGGCTATGCAGAAATGAATCTCCTAAGTCTTTTTCCCCTTTCCTGTCTTCCAGCTGCAGGCATTTATTTCAAAACATGTAAGAGATGTGCATGTCTGAGGGGCGTGGTGTTTATTTGGAACTATGCTGAAAACACACACACTCTGTGAGCTAAGTGTCACTGGAAAAATATGGCATGCAAATACAGACAGGCTATCACTTGCCCCAGAGGCAGCATCACCTGCTTCACACTTAACCTTGCTAACCTGGAGCAGGCCCTCCCCTCCTGACACCCTTCCCTGCCTCTAGACAGATGGCCCCAGCTGTAGGCAATGTAGATGCAGGTCTGCCCTGCCCATATTTATGGGTGGGTGGTTGCCCTCCCTTTGTTTCCCACCTGGAGTGTTTATTACTCCTTTCACCAGCTCTTCCAGGACAGCCTCTGTTGTCCAGTTAAATCTGGCCCCTAAGGCCACAGCTCCCCACACCCGGGGAACCTGTCCTAAAAAACGTTTCTCACCTTGTTCCTTTCTTGTTCTGTTTCAACCCTTCCCCTCCCTTCATGCAGTATCAGGTTGCCCCACCAAAGCTTTTGGTAAGGAACGCTGTTGAAGTCAGGCAGCAAGCTTAAAAATAACCCTAGAGAAAAAAGAAAGGTATTTAAATCGGGGAACTTGTCCTGTGTAAGGACCTAAGACATCTGCCTTGCAGCCTGCTTCCCTGATGGATATGGGCATGTCTTAACCCCTGCCTGGTCTTGCACATTGCGGGTTGTGTTTCAAAACTTGAGAATAAGCTACTTCTTAATCTTCTTTTAGGCCTGTTAAGGAACCTGGGCTTTGTTAATAGCCCTGTGCTCATGTGGAGCCTCCCCAGAAGTAAAGCCTTTCCCTGTGTTCCTGGAAATCCCTCTCCTGGCAGCATAAACGGTGGGAGGATAGTCTTCATCTCAACATGATGAAGCTCTTTTTCTTACCTCCATTTTGTGCTCTTCCTGCACAGAGGGGAAGTGGTGCTGCTTCATTTTGGAAGGCCAATGTTGGTTGCAAAAGGCGGTTGCTAATTGAGTGGGTGAGCGTGGGGTCAAACTCAACCCTAATTGTGTGAAATTGATTTCCAGTACAGGAAAGGGGTTTCTATAATTTTCCCTTACAATCGGGCCCATTAGCTAAGCAGGGGATATATTGCACTTGTGAGGAAGCACAGCACAAATACAGCTCTTAAGGGCTGTAAGCCCCAACTGCCTATGCTAATGGGTCGTGTGTTGGCTTGACCCAGTTTACAGGCTGTTGATTGAACATAAGAATTTAGAGCAGGAACAAAAAATTGTCCCATAAATAGGCTGTCTGCATTTTAAACCAAATTAGCCCCACAGTGAATGGCCTCCTCTACTGAATTACAGCATGACTGAGCCTGCGTTGGGGATTGAAAGGGATTCATGTGGCTGGTTAAGAGCAGCATTATTAAGATTATTATTGGGGGCTGGACCAGGCCCAATATGAATGTAATTATGCAGGACCTTTGAGCTACAATTATGTGTGACAGAAGAAGCCTAAGTAACTGATGGCAGAGAGTTTTTGGCCTTTACGGCCATGTAACTCATACAGAAGCAGACAGGGCTTACGGCACTGACAGACGGGTTGTAGTGGAGCTTGCTGTGCTGGTTGAAGATGTTTCCATCTCCAGCCGTGCACTCCTATAAAAGAGCTGGCAGAAGGGAATTGGTTCCTGAGCCTCAGTCGCTCTGGAGAGAAGCTCAGCACCTCAGGCTGTAGTTTCACACCACGAGCAGTTCAATGACAATAGCAGCCTTAAGGGATTCACACCCTCTACCTCAGCCTCCTGTCAACTTTTTGCAGACCTGCTCCACTGATTCAGTTCATAAAGAAAAGAAAAAGAAAAAACAAAGGGGGGATTACCCTCCCCTTCAAATTTAAGCAGATCAGCTCTTGAATCTGATCATAGTCTGATGCAAGCTCTATAGCCCATGGAGCTGAAGGTGTAGGACAGGGATGGCCACCGATTTGGAAACAGGGGCCTTACCTTAAACTGCTGTTGAGGGTGGCTTTTTTTCTGCCTTCCTTCTGTTCCTGTGCTTGGAAAAGGCTGCTGCTGCCAGGCTGCCTTCCCCCCTTCCTGGAGGACCAGAGCACTCTCTCCTGCAGGCAATCTCTTCTGGCTGGACTGTGCCCTGCAAGCAAGGAGACAGAAAACATGTATGAAATCAGAGTGGAAGCAGCATGGAAAACAGTGTTTGGAACAGCATGAAATTTCACATGTGTTTTCATCTCCACGTTTGCCTCAGCCAGTTTACACACAGCAGAAAACACTACCTCTTTATAATGGGTGAGTACCTACGATTTATTGGAACTGAGCTGTTGCTAAACACATGGAGTAGCGATGTATTAACACATTGTAAAAGGCCGTTTGATCACCATGGGATTCCAGATGAGCTAACAACAGAAAATAAGCCGTGATTCAGAAATGACTCATTTCAGCATTTCTCTTTGATGCAGCAGTTCAAGCAAGCCCTGTCTATGCACATTCAAATGAGTTCACTGAATAGTCATTGAGCCTAGCCATGCCATGCTTACAAAGTCGTTTTTACAAAGTCTAAGTGCAGTTTTTGAGTATAAAAATTGGGCAATTTCTAGCAAGCCGTGCCAATGCATGACTCTTAATCACTCCTGCCTGCAACCCCTTCCTACGCTTAGAACCTTGACGCCAAATACTAGTTTTCCATGATTCGAGGTTCTCCAAATGTAAGGGTCCTGAGAAATCACCCGCACCGTGAGTCGTGCATCTTCTGTCAGGTTGGAAATAACAGCAAAGGGGGCGACGTCTCAGAGAGACGTGTCTCCTACAGACTCTGCATGACGGCAGGAAGAAGGCTGCTTCACCTCCCGTCTTCCTCCTCCTCCTCTGCCGGGTCTCTATACCGGCCGCGAAAGCGCGGCGATACTTTAGGCGGCATTGCCATCCAGCGGCATAGGGGACAAATGACAGCGGAGAGGCTCGCGTGTAGGAGCGGGGACCCTCTTGATAGGTTTAATCGCCATACCCGGCTGGACAGGTTGGACCGAACTTGAGCAGCAACCTAATGGCTGGGTGTAATATATAATATATTGATAGCGTGCAGCACCACTGTGCAGTACCCTCTTGCTGTTAGCCAGGATGCTGCGGAGAAGCAGTGAACATTTATTTAACATAACTAGGGGATGGTGTGCTAACTGAAGGGTACACAGCCCACTTCAGAGAATGGATGTCAGTGAACCCTAAATCCTGACTGTGTTTGGATTTAGGGTTCTGTAAATTCTCTGTGCTTTAGCAGGCAGAATTTTATCATTGTTCTATAGATTGTAGATTTGAGTATATTACTCAGATGGTTGCTGTAATGAAGTCACCTGGTCATTCAGTTTTCTTTTTTCTGAGGTGCTGCTAGCCAGGATGCTCCCCCAAACCTCAAGCATTAAGTAACCAGTACATAAGACTACTGGTAAAATAATCTGTAAAAATATAGGGTCATTCTTTCCCCAAGAAAACTTGCAATATTTACATCAATATGGTCTGGGCTTTGAAATGTTTGTATTGCCCACCTGCTCTTCATGGCTTGGCCATGCTGCCATTTCTTCTTGCCCAGAGGGAAATTCTCTCAATCATATGGGTTGCAAAGGAACAAGGCCCAAGCCAAAGGAGGCAATGACAGTAATTTTCCGCTACTAATGTCATGAATAAAAACCACGAACCCCAGAACAACTGCTTGGGCTTAAGTGGTTGCATAAGAGAGAAAAAAGGACTGTTTTCTTTTTGCCAAAGCTAGTAGACAGGACAGCACATAGGTTACTCTGCAAACCCCAGTACAGCTGCTGACCCCACACTGTGAAGCAGGTCCGGCTGCCACAGTGGAGTTTGTCACCACAGGACAGGAGGTGCTGGCTGGTGAATGCCAAGGACTGGCAGCTTAGGAACAGCATGGTGGCCAGCAAGGTTTGCCATAAAGAACTGATACATAATCCCAGCGTCTATGCAGCTGAAACTAGGGTGGAATACGTGATACTTATGACCCTGCAGCCAATAGGAAGAGGGCCACCCTCCTGGGGTCCCTGTGGAAGCAGTCAGGACCCAGCAGAAACTGAAAACCTGTAGAGGCTTCAGCCACAGCTTCCGAACTGGGTACGTAGTTTTCCACATGGGTCTGGCAACTGCAGGATGAGTGGAAGAGAGCAAGAACCCACATTTACAAGGGAAAGGTAAAGCAGGGGCACGTTGGCAGATGGTGTGCTTTTAGACCCAATCAAACAGGATGTAAAACACCACAAATTTCATGCTGTACACACAGCAGCATCACTAGAGCTCGGTCCCTGAGCAGGCTGGATATTAAATTGATCAAACTGGTAATGAAAGTGGGAATTACTCCATCTCAGCTGACACAAGGCAGGTGACCTTATTAAAAAATATGCCAGTGTATTTAATGGGGTAGGGCAGTTTCTCAGGGAATTCATGATTAATGTGGCTATAACTCTGGAGATCCCACAGTTAATGCCCCTGGAAAAAGTCTCACTTCCACTATGAGATGGCCCGGCTGAAATTTTTGAGATGGGACTGTCTGAATAGAGGCACATGAATTCAGCCACTATTTTCAGACATAACAGCCAAGTCACACAAGAACTGCTGCACTGATTACAGAACATGGTGGCCTCATGCTGGACAAGGCAAACTAGATATGTAAGAAACCTGAGTCTGCAATGTGCCTCTCTATAGTCTGTTCAGGCTAACCGCCAGGAGCAACTTAAACTCCCATGCTATTTAGTCATCACTGAAACAACAGAAGCCACTGTACAAGACACTGACTTGAAGTAATGCCCTGAGCAAGACCTGACTTGGAGAAACCTTAGTATCCACTGACAACCAACAGCCTGGAGCAGGCAGTGGTTGCAGCTGTCTTAAGCTATGGGCATGTATATGAAAAGGATCTGAGAGTGAGAAAAACTGCTGTCTGTGAACCTCTGAGAGGGAGCAGGAACTTTAGGAAGGCCATAGCATCCCAGCCCAGTGTTGTGTCCCCTGCAGGTGCTAATGCCTATGGAAGAGCAAAGGAGCAGGGAAAGCAAATGTGGCACTTTTCCTTACACCCTTCTAGCCTCCAGCTATCCTGATGGAGGCTTGTGAGATGGACACCATTGCTGTATACCCAGTAATAGTCCTGTCCCGTGAACTTGCCCAGTTACTTTAACACAGCTCACACAGCATTGAGCAAGCAGAGGCTTAGGAGTAAAGTGCCTGTTTTCTTCTGCTTGCTGTAGGTGCAGGGAAAAGAGGCCTTTGTGCACATTCTTTGCAAATGGAAAGGAGTCCAGCAAAATCTAACCTAATATAGGCTTGCGGTTCAGGCCAAGCAGTGTCATCATTGTGAACAACAGGCAAGAATCTGTAAGTAGTCCCCAAAGACAGAAACTGAGCCAAACTGGAAGAAACAGGCGCTTGAATTTTGAGGCTTCAGAGTGGAATTGCAGTTCAAGGCAGTATCCAGGTACACTGCAAAAGAAGGCCCCTGAAAGCACTGTGGAACAACCTGTCATGAGACAGAAAACCCATGCTAGGGTACCAGCTGCCAAGGTATGTATGGTAACTGAGGAGCCCAACAAGAAAAACCTGGACTGGGAGAGGCAGTTTAGCAGGAAGGGACCAGACAAGATGAGGCTGGCTGCAGGAGCGGAGGAATGCAATGTTGTGCAAGACAGTAGTTTTCTATCCTCTTTACAACTTTCCAGTGACCCAGTATGGGGAGAATAGATTGTCCCAGCTTCAGTAATGCCATCAGGGTCTGTCTCTGACCCTATGGCAAGTGGTGATTGCAGCCACTGCCCTTCCCGTAAGAGAGCCATAAAATGTTTTTGCATAAGCAGTAGAACAAGGGACCAAAACATAAGCATGAGCCTCCACCCGAAGCAAGAGGAAACAGGAAGGTGCTTGGCAATTTGAAATACCTGGGAGTGGAGTGCAAGGCTTTTACTGAGAATTGTTTTGGTTGTCTGTACATCAGCAAAAAAAAAGGAAAAATAATATACTATCTTCATGGTAAGACAGTGGCAATTTTAAGCACAAGTTTTGGGCTTATGCAGTGTGAGACAGATGGCTCATCAACACAGATTGCTTGTCTAGACTGCTGGTTATACAAAGAGGACACCTTGGCTCCAAAGGGAAAATGAGGCAACAGAAGCTGAAAGTCCAAACCTTAAGAAAAACATCATTCTTTGGGCTACAAAATGTGGCATTTCTTCAGGGAAGAAAACTGCAGCTGCATGGCACTGGCCAATTTCTTTCCCAGTTTGACAGCCAGCATTTGTCACTTGTTACACGTTATGTCTGCCAGATATGTCTGTCATTACTCTCTAAGAACCTGGCAGGCTTTAACAATCATGGATGTCTAACATTATCTCTCAAGCAGACCTGGAGTGCAGTGTGATGGGAATACTTTCAATCCTAAAAGCCCTTTGGGAGAAACTGGAGCCCCACAAACCAGGTGGCACCTCACCCCTGCTTACAACTTGATGGTGTGGGAAAAAGACATTTTCCAAGTCCAGGCTTGGCTCTACCTAAACCTAGTACATCTGTCCCAGGTAGGAAGGTGCTAAGGACAAAGGAAGCATACCTACCACAGCCCTCTGAAAGAGGATACTGATAATTCACTGAAAGAAAACTAAACAAAGAGATGTTACAGGCATCAAGGTAATTTGCCTAATGACGTGAAAAGACATGAGAGGTGAAATACCAGTCAATAGTTATAAATTTATTATTTATTAAATGATTTTTCTTTATGCTTAGGATGAATCATCAAAGTATACAAATATTTTTCCTTCTAGAGTAGTCTGGGACTATCCTGAGCCTACCCAAACTGCAATGCTAATGGTCATTAGCAGAGATAAGCATATTTCTAAATGATGTCAAAATACTTTTGTTATAGTTTCTAAATGTAATAGGATCCCCAACCCAGCTGCAACCAAGCTAGGTGATACTGTAATATAGACAATCATAGGAAAGAAAGCTGGAAAAGACCTAGAAAATTACCAGGTCCAGACCAGTATGACCTGCAAAACTGCTGAAAAATCTACACCTAACCTGCTTCTGACAACCATTAGTAGGAAAATTCCAAACTCTCCAGACAATCTAATCCACATTTAACTGTTTATCACTACAAAGCTTCCCTCACTCTAATCTTCACCTCTCCTGATGCTATCTAAGATGATTAGTTCTTGTCCTACACACAGAGAACAGGGAGAATCAGCTACTCCCTTCCTATTTGCACCAGGATTTGCTTCTGGCTTTCCTTTTTTTTACATATTTAAAGACTTTCTGCTTTTTTTTCTTTATGGCATAATAACCATGCGTATATTTCAGTTATTCCTGACAGGGGGTGTTTCTGAGATCCCTATGACTCTCATGTCATTTCATACCTAGCAACAAGTTATATTGCCAGAATAAAGAGCACAATAATGCTAAATGATTAGTGGAGCCATTAGAAATAAAAGGAGTGATCCATAGAGCCACTCTCTGGAATAGCCAGTCACCTGTACCAGCAGGCAAGGCTGTGGTAAGCTCTGCTTGGCAGAGCAGGTTACTTCTGCCCTTGGTCACACAGGGACCAACCAGGCTACAGGGACGCTGCCCTGGCATCTCACTATGGGTCTGACATCAACTGCCACAATTCAGCAACTGAGGGGAACACCTTGGGCTCATGTTCATAAAGTTGGCAAGTACCCATATCTTTGCAAAATCCAGTGTAAGCTACCTTTGGATACCTCTCCAGTGCAAATAATAGCTGCATGTGTACATTTGTACTTTACTATACATTAATCTGTAACAAGAAAACAGATTTCTCCCAGTGCCTTGACTACACCAGTGTCATCTATAAAATCCAGACATATTTAACAGAAGAAAACCAGCTTTGCCACCACAGCCTGCCTGTCATCTATTAGGACATGTTTAATTATGTCTTGCTTTTTCTGTGTAGGAGGATAAATGAGCTGGGAAGAGAATGCCGTGCTGTTGCTCCTAAGCAGCTGATGAGGAGTAGTTTGCACAGAGGTGAGTACGTGTCCCTGCTGGAAATTAATTGGAGAAGGGAGTAGTAGAGTGCTCTGCTTAGTACCAGTAGCATATCTGACTCGCAAAATGCACTCTGCTAGAGACTAGGCAGTGTTTCTGTTCCTGAAACCTTTATAGCTAAAAGACTACCACAAATTCAGACAAGCAGTGAAGTTCCTGCTGCATAAGAAGCTCTGCATCTGGAGCTTGAGAGCACCACAAGACAAAAGCAGATGAGATGCTGTATTGTCTGGCCCCTGCTGTCTTGCAGACAGATGTGCTCACTAACTGCATACGCTTAGATTACTGGATGATTTTACTGGACCATGTGAGCTGAGCTAGCATTTGCCTTCATATGTCATTTCATTTCTCCTCCCATTTGCTGCCAGTGCTGCTGCCTTGTGACTATCCAGTGTCAGTGTGTCTGCGTGGGAACTTCTGTTTAAGGTAGGCTTGTATTTTCTTTTTGAATAGTCAGATTGTGGCTGGCTGGGAAGTGCAGGGATAGCAGCGGTTGCTCTGAACAGGAAAAAGCAGGGGCAGAGGAGAAGAGGTAGGAATAAACTTTAAGTGCTCCTGTGTTCAGACTCTGCTTAAGTGCTCCTGTGTTCAGACTCTGCTTTCTCTTTCCCTCTGTTATACAGTGCATGGAATCATAGAATAGTTAGGGTTGGAAAGGACCTTAAGATCATCAAGTTCCAACCCCTCTGCCATGGGCAGGGACACCTCACACTAAACTATGTTACTCAAGGCTCTGTCCAGCCTGGCTTTGAACACCACCAGAGATGGAGCACTCACAGCTTCCCTGGGCAACCCATTCCAGTGTCTCACCACCTTAACAGGAAAGAATTTCCTCCTTATATCCAATCTAAACTTCCCCTGTCTAAGTTTTAACCTGTTACCCCTTGTCCTGTCACTACAGTCCCTAATGAAGAGTCCCTCCCCAGCATCCTTACAGGCCCCCTTCAGATACTGGAAGGCTGCTATGAGGTCTCCACGCAGCCTTCTCTTCTCCAGGCTGAACAGCCCCAACATTCTCAGCCTATCTAACTTCATACGGGAGGTGCTCCAGTCCCCTGATCATCCTCGTGGCCCTCCTCTGGACTTGTTCCAACAGTTCCATGTCCTTTTTATGTTGAGGACACCAGAACTGCACACAATACTCCAAGTGAGGTCTCACGAGAGCAGAGTAAAGGGGCAGGATCACCTCCTTCGACCTGCTGGTCACGCTCCTTTTGATACAGCCCAGGATACAGTTGGCTTTCTGGGCTGTGAGCACATATATACCTTCCAGCTCAGGAGGAGCATGTGAGTAAGGCATGTGTTAGAGAAGATTGCTGCCAGGCAGGGCTGCTCTGAGAGAAGAGTTTTAGGGAGACTGTGGGCATTGCATGACATTCCAGATCAGCACAAGATCGAAGAAGTTCCATCTTGTTGTGAGGAGGTGTGAGGGATGAGGATGTCCTTTTCTTAGGCACAAAACTGTGGGCTGTGGCTACCTGCACTTCCTAACCAGAAAAACAACACTGAGGAGAATAGCTTGTAATAGCTTCACTGTGATTTTAACATTAGTGCCAGTGCAGACTGAGAGCTTTGCATGTGAGGGTCATGAAAAAGAATGTCATGATACAGATGGTTTAGTGCTAACAATAGAATAGAAAATGTCAAGTGACCCCAAATAGACATGAAATGCATGATGCTTGTCACTACTGACTGAGGCCAAACAAGAATTAAAAACTAAGAACTAAAAAAAAAGATCTAAAAGACTGTGCATCTTGCTTTTTAAGTTAGCTAACAAATTAGTTGAAACAAATTATCGGTAGTTTACTGAGTATGAACTATATTCCTAAGATGCTATCTTTGTGGTATGGAAAGGTCTGTTCCTATTTATCCACAGTGAAGCCATTTCAATCGCCAGTCCTACTGGGGAGTGTGTTTCCACTGTAGGAGCCACACCTGTAATGCTGACAGAATGTAGAGAAACGTCCTCCTCTCATGTTATAACGAGAATTGCTACAATTCAGGTCCAGGGAACAATAGAAAGGAGTGGCATCACAAGCATCAGTCATCAACAGTTTTTGTTCTACCAGCACAGACCCCTCTTACACAGCCTCTGTCAAGCAGCATGGTAAATTTGATCTGTTATCATCATTTTGTCCAGTAACTCTGTCTTTGCACCCGAAAGGTGCTGAGGTCCAATACAATCCACAGCAGGAGAACCCATGGGCATCCTAAGGTCTCCTGGACCTTGCTGCTCTTTCACAGACACTTGCCATAATATAATTCAGATTTACATCTCGATTTGGTTGCTCCTTGCATCTAAACTTCAGATGAGTCTGCAAAGTTGACACTTCAGTAATACCTGAGAGTTTTTCTGTTCAGGTGGCTCATGTGAATTGCACACTCTGTTTCTTTATTCCACTGATGTTATCTTTATTTCCTTTCTTTTCTTTTTTTTTCTTTTTTTCTGTGTGCATGTGCAATATCTGCCTCTAATCCAAGGCATTGATCTTATCTCACAAAGAGCAGCACAAGGCAGAACTAGTAAAAAACCCCAAACCACAAAACCTCAAAGATTTTGAGAGCTTTGTTTTCCACGGCAATCATTTGCATGTATGGATATTGTCCAGGGCATTTAGATGCCTTGGAAACTGTCTGCTGCTATACAGCTAGGAAAACTTTTAGGAACTTAAATATGTATATAAAAGATACATATATGCACACACACACACATATATGCACACACATATATATGTACCTAAGGAGGCTGTTTTCTCTTAGGTGTTGAAGTTTGCTTTACTAGCATGGTTCATAGCAAACAGGTAAGTTACATGATCAACAAGAAAACAAGATCATTTGCATGTATTCAGGCTTTTAAATACAAACTATTCTAGAGAATCGCACCAGGGTGAAGAAGTAGCAGCAAGCATGCAGCCTTCTTTCCCTAAAGGCTAGTAATGCCAAAGGATCATGTTTAGTCTGGATAGCTGCAAGGGTGTTGCAGCAATGTCTCTGCAAGAACATCCAAACAAAACCACAATGAAGCACACTGAGGAAAAGTTAAAATCTTGCATTTCATTGTTATGATGAGCTGGCCTATCTCTTGTTTTCTGCATATATATGTATGCGCATATATATATGTATGTATCTTTTTTATATATATTTAAAGTTCTTAAACGTTTTCCTAGCTGTGTAGCAGGTTACATAGTGCCTAAAATGGTTTTAAAAGCATCTGAGCAGATGTTTTCAAATTCATCTAAGTCCCCTGGACAATATCAGCCTTTGGTGTCTGGAAAATCTACGTGTGGTCTCTGCCCTGACACTCCCCCAAGAAAATCCTGACTCCTGTAGAAAAGTTGGCACCTGCCTCTGCCTCTGGTTTTCTTCCTTTCCCCGTTTTCCTTCCAGCTGGATGGAGGTCTCATATTAAGACCATAGCACAGGGGAAGAAATGGTCTTGCAGCTACCTGACACAGTGAGCAGGTCGGAAGATGCTGAACTTGATCTATATTGTGCACAGAGGACAGCAAGCTCCTGCTGGCCTTGTAGTCAGCTGTGTTCATGGCAGTTTGTGTTACTGAGGTGTGAGGTGGGGGAGTGTTTTTCACTCCTGGCTATAATTCACTGTAACAATCAAATTCGGAAGAAGCAGTGTTTTGAAGCACTCTGGACAGCTCTGTGCTCCCTAGGACAGCATTCACCAGTAACTGAGCTGGGACATGTTTTACCCTCATGGCAGTATTTGCTGTGCATTTCTTTGCTAGACTTGGTTAATGGTCTCATTAACCATTAACCTGCTCATTAAGCATTAACCTGCTCATCTCTCTGAATCCTCATTTAACAATCCATACTGCTGGGCTGTGGCAGCATTTTCCAGGTGATTTCTCAGCAGAACCAAGTGGGTCTTTGTTATTCCCTGGAACTTTGCACACCTCTGTTCAGTCCCCTCAAATCCATCTGAGGTATCCTCCTTCCGAAGGCACTGGTGTCCATGAGGAAGGTGGCTGTGACCATAGCCATCCCTACCTGTCCCTGATGATTCTCTGGTGAGGGGTGGCTCTGCTGCTCACTGTCTCTGGGTAAACCTAACTGCAAGGCCTTTCCTGCACCAGTGCCCATCTTGGGCGATGCTCTGGCCACAAACCCTTAAAAAGCTTCTTCAGTGCTCCTCTCCTCATTACAGCTTATGACTGTACCTGATGGGCTGCAGTCTACAATCTCTTTGAACACAGAATCCTGGAGACTGTTTGGAGCCATGATGGGAGGAAAATACAGCTTCTGGGAGAGACCTGCCAGCACCTGAGGTGACTTGTCTGCATGAGTTGGAAGGCAGGTGATGGTGTTTCTGATTCTGTAACATGCTGGACTGCCCAGTCAAAACATTTACAGGCATAACCTCAGATCATCTGATACTGACTTATCATTACTTCACACTGGAGCAAAAAGACATGATGTTGAAAAAAGTTTATATGCCCCAAATGTGCTGCCTCATGGCAGGAGATCCAGATGAAGAGACGCACAGTTGGAAGAGAGAGAGCTACAGGCATTTCACTTTAGTCAGAGCTGTGCCACAAGCTTTCATTGCATAAGTATGCTGTTATACCAAATGCATGCATGGCTCTTAGAAACAAGAATTATTCATCAGAAAGCCTAAGGTTAGCTTAAGTAGTTTAAATAGCAGGTTTTGCTAACCCAATTCCTTTTGGTGGATGTAAGCCTGGAGCTCATCACGACTCATCCATGACACTTGGCAGAAACTATATGGCAGATTTTGGATTTACAAATAAAGAAAACATGACTGCGAATAATGATGGCTCTGATATAACTCAGAGGCTAAAAAGATTCTCCTGCTTCTTAGATGTGATTATGTTGGTGGCCTTACATGGTAGCACAGTGTGCTGAACAGGCCTTTTTGTAATTCTGAAGCAGTGATGACTGATACACTTGGGTGGTTAAAAAAAGTTCCTGTAAGGAAAAAAAAAAAAAAAGGATTTACACACAAGGTAAATATGAGGGTTCCTGACATGAGGTGCACACTCAGGAACTTTTTCAGCTAGTAAAGTTACTAGGTCAGAGAGCAGTTAAGAACTTATCTGTAAACTGAATTCAGAGACACTGAAATATATACAATATATACTGCCGGCTGTTCACTGCTTAGCCAGTAATTATGCAATATGTCTGTTTGATCTTCAGGGTGCTGTGGAGCAGCTTCTGCCTGCACATTGTTTGCTACTTATGCTGCTTCTACATCAATGATGACTATGAAACTATTAATATTGAAAGTGAAGACAGCAGCTGTATGCTATGCATCAGACGGATACATCTATTCTCAAGCAGAAAACATGAGCAGCCAGCAGAAAAAACTGTTTGTGGTGTCTGATCTGACCTCTTTGCAATATTTCAAGTGAGACTGTTTTTCTCATGGTTCTGAGCAGCAATGAGTAGACTCAGGTATTGCTTCTTTGCTGTTCTAATTTTCAGTGTTTCGCTTCTAATTTTTTTTTATGCTGTTAATTTGAACACACAAAAATCTCTTTGGAGGCTGAACTTCTCAGTGAATTCAACATTAGCAGAAACCTGCAAAGCACTGATTGAAGACAAGGTGCACTTTATGAAGGAAAATGCTTTAGAAACTTCATCCAGAGAATCCAGTTGCACGGAGTACATCACCCGGAATCACTACATCACCCGCACCCTCTCGGCTGAAGAGGCCGCCTTCCCCATTGCCTACGTTATAACCCTGCACAAGGAGTTTGAGACCTTTGAGCGGCTCTTCAGGGCAGTGTACATGCCCCAGAACATCTACTGCATCCACGTGGATGCCAAGGCACCGGCCCACTTCCATCGGGCAGTGCAGCGCCTGCTGGGCTGCTTCCCCAACGCCTTCCTCGCCTCCCAGGCGGAGCGGGTGGTCTACGGTGGCATCTCCCGCCTGCGGGCTGACCTCCACTGCATGAGAGACCTGCTGGCCTCGGGCGTGCCCTGGCGCTACCTGCTCAACACCTGCGGCCAGGACTTCCCCTTGAAGACCAACCGGGAGATCGTCCAGCTGCTGAAGCGCTTTGGGGGCAAGAATGTCACCCCCGGCGTGCTGCCACCCCCCCACATCACCTTCCGCACCAGATATGTGCACAGGGAGCAATTATACTCTCTCTTTTCTTTCATGCTTGTGACATTTGTGCGCAAGACACCCCCTCCCCACAACCTGACCATCTACTTTGGCTCTGCGTATGTGGCCGTCACCCGTCCATTTGTGGAGTTTGTGCTGCAGGACCAGCGTGCCATCGATCTGCTGGCGTGGTCTGAAGATACCTACAGCCCTGATGAGCACTTTTGGGTGACGCTCAACAGGATCCCAGGTGAGTACTCCTTCGCTTCTGTTTTCTGTAGATACACAGGTGCATGCACAGGTGTGCACATGCATGCAAACACACAAAGACATATATCCAAGGCTGATTTTCACAAAGACTAGATGAAAAATTTAATTGGATCATAACTGATAAGAAAAGGCTGGTCTATCAAATAAGTTTACTTGCCCTTTTTGACCATTGAGGGAGACGTGACAGAGCAGTGCAAGATGTGCTTTATTGTTCTGTGCCCACGCAGGAAGTAACTCAGAGGATCAAAGTTCAAATTGCAATCCTTGGACATTTCAGGTGTTAAACATTTTATCTGTAAAAATGGAGATGAAGAAAAGCGAAGGAATAAAGTTTAAAATATGTAAGCATTGTAGGGAAAGTGTTTTTAGAAATGTCCTGGGTTCAGCAGTAGCAATCATTTTTCTCCTTCTTAGTAGCTGGCGCAGTGCTGTGGTTTTGACTTTTAGCCTGAGAACAGTGCTGGTAACACACCAGTGTTTTTAGTTGTTGCTCAGTAATGTTTATTCCTATCAAGGTCTTTCAGTCTCATGCTTTGCCAGTGAGGAGGGGCATGGAAAGCCAGGAGGAAGCAGAGACAGAACACCTGACCCAAACTAGCCAAAGAGGTATTCCATACCACAGCACTTCATGGCCAATATATAAACTGGGGGCAGTTACCCAGAAGGGCTAGATCACTGCTCAGGTTGGGCTGGGTATCGGTCGGCGGGTGGTGAGCGGTTGTATTCTCTTCCCTTGTTATTTCCCTTGTCATTATTATTGGTGGCAGCAGTAGTGGTTTGTGTTACCTTAGTTACTGGACTGTTCCTATCTCAACCGGTGGGAGTTACATTATTTCGATTCTCCTCCCCATCCTTCAGGAGCAGGGGGGGAAGAATTGGGGGGGAGTGAGCGAGTGGCTGCATGGTTCTCAGTTACCAGCTGGGCTTAAACCACGACAACAAGATCTTCTTTTTTCTAGGAGGAATTTTATTTTTCACAAATAGAATTCAGTTGCTCCCTATCTATTACTCCAGAGCCAGAAAACAATGTGAGTTCAGGCTAGAATCTGCTTCTAGTCTTCATATGCTTTTCTGTGGGCACACACATGCCATCTCTCACATAACACCTGCAAAAAAACCCCATGTACTCATAACTACTGCCTAAACCCCACTGTGCAAGGTCGAGGATTTGTTTAGTGAAACAGAGTATTTTCATTCTCACCTTAGATATTTACAATTAGTTTTACTTTGTTCAAATTACTAGGAAAGGGTTAGAAGATGCTTGCGACTTCTCCCCCATGCACATTGATGCTTTTAGAAGCATCTGGTAGGACTTTACTGCACCCAACTCCCTAGAGCTTCACAGCAGCCCAAAGCAGAACTGTTAGGAATGGAAACAGGATAAATTTCTTCTCCTGTCATTTTTTCTTCTGTTTTTCCACCCCTTCCCTACTGAACTTGTGGGAAACAAAAACAGGGAGCATTAACAGTGGGACAGAGCATGTCTACTTTAGCCTAAGCAGTAGACTGTGGGTCCATTTTGCAAGGCCAAATTATCACTTAACTCTGTGAGAACAGTGTTTGCTCTTGTCATAAGTATTTTACAACTGGCATGCACGAGGTGCACAAATGATTACTGTTTGAGATATTTATAGTATGATCATCGTCAGATACTATTTGTAGTTACATGACTTTTCCAAGAAGCTGGTTGTTGTGATCTTGTTATAGTCTATTGCCTCAGAAGCAATAAACCTGGGACCAGATGTGTCCTCCACAAGCAGAAAGCTTTAGGTGGTTGCCATTTGTTGTACTACACTGTGTAGCTTACAGAGGCTGCATATTTCACTGTATATTTCTATGATTATTGCTGTATGTTTTCCAGTGTTGCACACTGGCATGACATTTTTTGTGCTTTTTCTCTTTGCATTCAAAAGATGTAACATTTCCACAGCAGGTATGTTTCCTTCCTCCTTGTTTTCTCTGCCATTACATTAGCGTGTCTGGTCAAAAATGGCCATGCAGCTCTCGCAGATGTATTCAGGGGCTGCTATTGTCCACAGTTTTGAATCCAAACTTGTAAGCATAGCACAGGGTGTCACTCATCTGAATGTATCCAAGACAGATCCAGACTCTGGGATGTGAAGTCACCCTTCTCAATGCACAGGGTGTTAGACTGGGACTCAGTTCCTGGCTCTAAAAAAACCTCTTATCCAAGTTTGACCAGGTCACGTCCTTTCAGCTTTTCAGGCATATCAGAGGCAGATAATGGTGTGAGGCAGTTGTCCAGCTGTTAGAATAAATAGTTGCAGGTCTCCAGGCAAGCAAAGAGATCATTTAAGGACCAGTTTGGATGGACAGTGTATCATGAAAAAACTAAACCAAATAGATTTGATATTTCGGACTCTCACAATATTCTCAGTTCAGATAAAAGATTAAAAAAGACTGTTTGATTCCCAAATCTTAAAATAGCTTATTACCCAGAGACATGCAATGAAGACCAAGCTATTTTTTTTTTTTTAGCCCCTTAAAGCTAAAGTCTTTCAAGTCCCATTCAGTTGGTTTTCAAATAACAGTCTTAACTTATCTTTGGTATTTCTCTCAGGCCACTTATCTCCCACATAAATTCTGTGTGACAGAAAATTCTTGAAAGTCACTTTTCAGATAACAAAGAGAAGTATGAGGAAAATAAGGGAAAGTATTTGCAAAGTATGTAGGCTTGAAGTGACTGGCCCTAAATTACTTTCCCCAGGTCTCACATGAAGCAAGCACCACCACAGTGCAGGTTAGTTGCTACTTCCCAGGCCAGCAGCATAACCACTGGGTCACCTTTTCCCTCTCTGTCTACATAGAGTAGAAAGTGGGTTCTGGTTGCTGTGGGAGAGGTGTGTATCCAGAGTTAATGATATTTAGTCGTTCAGGGTAGTTTTTACTGGATCCTCTTCCAAGCCAAACTCCTGTCCCCACTTTCATGTGGCAAAGGTGCAAGATATGCTTGACTTGGGATATAGGCAGTCCTAAATGATAATCCCTCAGGATACACACCAATATGTACATTGACATACACATATGCTGGTCCATTAGTAACTTACACATTGTTCAGTGGGAAAATAAAGGTCAGAAGGAGTAATAGAAGCACTTCTTATTCAGAGATACCAACATGTTCTTAGAAGGGAGGTCGGTCCTATTATTTCTCTTTCACAGAAGCAGGCAGAAAAGGATGAAACTATATTCCTAGTGTCTTAAACTAGACCATGGGCAAAGCCAGCACTGGAGCACTGATACATAACTCCCACTCTAACACACTGGATTAAACTGTTTTATCTTCAGAATTGGCTCACTTGAAGAATAACAGAGCATGGTTGCCCTGTCACCTTTGCATCAGTCCCATTTCTTTACTAAGGGTGTGGGTGCACAAGACAGCTGAGCACTAAAAGCTCATTGTTCCCAAAATAGGAAATTTTCTCCTTATCCCTTCCTACTTCCTCCTGCCTACCAGACCTGTGCTAGGAGCTTTGCCAGTTTAAGTCACCTGATCTGAAGAAAAGCAGTGTACTATCCTCAATCTGTGAATTTAATTGGCTTGATGAAGTATCTGGCCAGCGCTGAAGCATGAATTAAAGCTGGGGGTGAACATGCAGATGTGAGAAATGGGAGAGGAAAATGAGAAGGAGAGGAGGAACAGGAGCCAGACCTTCCCCTTTCAGTGCTGGTGAGCCATGAGCCTGGCTTACGCCATTTTCTACAATGCCGCCTGCATATGGGCACTTTTTAACATCTGAGCTTGGAAGGGTAGGGCAGAAATATTTAAAGGCATCGTGTATGCTTAGTTGTTATCAACAGTTTTGGTACAATTTCCATTCTAGTGCAGCTGAGGTGTATTTGGGAAATGCAACACTGCTAGTTGAACATATTTTTGTTATTGCATTTAAGACAAACTTCTAGGAAATGACAATATGGAGATACAAACTTTACAGTCCCATGGGTTATATCACTCTTACAGACTTTGTTTAAAACTCACATGCACAGGTCTGTGTTCTAAAGCTGTTACCTATAGTAAGTTCTCTCACATTGATTCCAATGAAACAAATCATAGCTTTGCTTTAATCTTCAAGTTTATACTATGCGCACCTTCCAACTGGCAAGTAAGCTATAAGGAAATATTCAAGAGTGCATCCTCAAAGCCAAAACAAATATGTTAAGAGGGCCAGTCCATAGTCTGGTGAACAAATGTCATCTGTGTGCCACAGGTAGCTTACTGCCCTGTAAAAATGGCATTAGTTTCTACTTCAACCTTTCTGTTAGGTGCTGCTGGCACCAGGTTCTGGATTAATACCAGTCTGGAAAGCATAAAAGAGTTTATTTGTAAGCAGTCCTGCTCTGGATCACTACACAGTGCTGTAAGTGACTGTGCTGGCAGGGCTGAAGGGGCTTGGTGGTTATGGGAACGACCAGCCAGGGTGTTCAGGGGCAGGGAATAAATCACCAGAGATCAGCAGTACATATTTAGGTAAGAAGCTCATCTCCCAGAGTACTTCAACCACCATCCTCATCCCTTCTCTCAAACCTATGGCTGAATGAACTTGTGCATATGCAAAGTAAGCCTCTTTCCTAGTCTCCTGCACTTGTTTTCCGAGTTTCTTTTTCAGGTTTCATATTTAGGAATCTCTCCCAAATTCAGGTGTGCAAGAATGTCCTCTTATCCAGACCCTTTCCAGAGTCCCTGTTGACAGCTTCTTAGCAAGTTGGCCTCTGTCTGTTCTGCCCTGTTACAAAGAGACAAGAATTGTTACCGCAGCCTGGGAAACATAGCCAAGACATTGTCTCTTACCTGCTCTACCAGGGTATGTGCAACAGCTGCTGCTGTTGTGGTTGGGACAGATGTGTTTTAATAGCTGTCATCTTTAGCTTCAGAACTTAACCAGCATTCATGAAGATGCCATACCACTGAAGAAGCAAGTGAAGTCTTAGCTATTTAGTAATGAAAAGATGCTGGCAGCTCATCCTCTTCTCCACAGGGCCTCTGCCCAGAGCCAGCCCTGAAGCGCATTTCACTAGCAAATGTGAAGGTCCTCTCCACTCACAGTGGCAGGAGTTGCTACATCTGGGGCTACCGCTGCAGCTGGATTTAGAAGTGAACGGCAGGCAAGACTCAAGAAACTCAGTGAAGAAGCAGAGAAGTTTGGAAACAACCCTTCAGGAAGCACACTGGATATGCACAGTGGAGTATATTGTAATATCCAAACTGGCCAAATGCTACAAGCAATCTAGGCATAACAAGAAACCTAATCATAACCAGGAGAAATGGGGTTTTGCACCTGCATTCTAATGCTTTTGGGGAAGGATTATTCCCAACAGGGTGCTGCTGTATGGCTCCACAGAAATCGCATCAGCGCAGCTTAGGGTCCTTTGCAGAGCCATGAACAAGAGGAGCAAGAACTTCAGGAATATGCTTCATGTGGCATCGTCGCTGAGGGAAATGCTGAGGAATCACCACTACACAACTAGCTGGTGTGTTTCCAGAAGGCACTGTGTTGCTGCACAGAGCATGGCATTCTGGAGGCAGGCTTTGCACAGGCAAGTTTGATTTGCTGATTGTGGTTACATAATTAATGTTGTAGTTGGGAGCAGAGGTTTGCTTCTGAAGTCCTTTCCATCCAACTGCTCTTTCTTATGGCACACTAGTTTTATTCAGATAATGACCTTAGTACAGAAGGGCTGGATTCCTTCTCTGGTGGAAGCAAACCAGAAGATGTACATTAGCGCACATATAGTGCACTACAACAGCTAAGGGGAACACAGGAATCCCAATCGAGGAACAGCCCCACCGCTGCCAAGCATGGTACTGGTCCTGAAGTGCACACCAGCAAGTATGTGCCAGTAGAAGGCTCCAAAATATCAAGGACTTCTGTTGTGTAAGTAGCTAGGTGATGCCTGCTTCAACTTTCTTTCCTTGCTGTTTCTTACCAGTTCCCCCATGCTGAACTTCACCTGTGTTTCAATGCTGTGCTTTTTTATTGCCTTCTTTCCCTGACAATAAGTGAAAAAGACTGCATGTCCTGGCACTCATCCAGGATCCTTTGTCCTGGATACCCAAAAAAATCCCAGCATGAGAACATTCACATCCATACACACTGCTTTTTCTGTCACCCCAAATCCAGCATCGAAAACTTCATCCCACTACCCATGTCTCCAACTATGGCATACAGCAGAGAAGTGTGGGGACACATTTGGCTACTGGGGCATCAGCCTTCGTTTTGTGGAGATGAAATGAGTATTGCTAGTCCTAATATAGGAGCTGTTAAATCATTAGCAATCCCCTCAAGATACGAGCTGCAAGAGAAAGTCTACATGTAACAACTGGCTGTTACAAAAATCATTCACTCATTGTCTGCCCTGTAAGAGTGCTCAGTTATGTTCTGGCAGCTGAGCAAGGCTGCAGACACATCCTGGCATGCTAGAGCAGCCTTTCTAAGCTTCCATGGAAAGACCCTAACATGTGATTCCTTTCTCTCCCTCAAAATGCTGTGATGTAGCAATGGTGCCATGGTCAGCAATTCTTTGCTTCCTGTCACTGCAGAGTGCAACAGCAACAAGTTTGGGGTGGTTTGACCTTACATGGAGCGCAAGGTGGTTAGCAGCTCTGCAGCCATTAGCCACAGTAACACACCTCTCTTCCCTGCTCTCATTCTGGCTGGCACAAATTTCATTCAGTTACTCATAGACAGGATGGTCCCACCTCTGGGACATGCCTTGGTCATGCACATCCCACTCATATACAGAGAACATGAGTGGTGCTTGGCAGACATTCGGTTTAAGGGAAGCTGGGGATTTACAGAGAAAGTGCCAGGACATAAGCACTTTTATTCCTGGTTTCTGGAAGAAGCCTGCAGAATGGTGATCAGCTGTAGGTCATCTGTCTCAGAGGAAGGGAAGGGGAAAGGAGCATAAGCCGTACAAGCCCAAAACCCAGACCATTCTCTGGTCTGAATGGGCAGATCACAGGGCCTCCAGCAGCTTCCTGTCAAGTACGGTGGACTGGGAACATCAGCAACCTCAACCTGGTATCTTTGAGTGATTTTTTTTCTCTTGTTGCAGCTAACATGACAGAAATTGGGACTCCATGGAAGATGATGTTTCATTCTGGCTTGTTCTTACTTTTCCAAGGATTCACCTAGCTGTATGCTAACCACGATTTTAAGTGTTTTTGATATAGTTACATATTGTGTCTGTCTAAGTGCAAAGGGTCAGACTCACCTCAGTTCTCTCCAAGCAGCATGAAGCTTGTGAATGTATTCACTTGTTTTGTCAGTGATGTGTAGTTTGTTTGTAAGGTGAGTGTTAAACCACCCCCGAACTTTGAAAGTCTATCTGTACCATCCTGATGGCAATTCCTCATTTGGGAGCTGAGTGATAGACAGAAAAATAAGGAAGAAGGTTGGCATACAGTATGTCTCAGGTAATAGCAGGCATGTGGCGGGTAATACTGTGAGTCAAGCTAGTATTCTCTTAAGACAGATGGGAGTTGTCTTTGTTAAAATTTCACTGCAGTTTATTGGAAGCAGTAGCTTTACATCCAAACAAGAGCTGGTGGCTCTCAAGGAACATCTCATTCACATCCCTTGGATGTAGGAGTGGGATACAAGAATAATACTAGAAAATTCTGAGCAGCACTGTTAGAACGCTAATCAATCACGTTAGCCAATTCTTTAAGTTTTTATAAAGCCATTTGCTTGTACAAACAGACCTGTGTGTTTTCCAGGCAATTTAGCTTGCACTGAGTTTCTCACTACAGCAACTTCACAGTTCAGAACTGCTTTGGTACCTCTCCATCCCACTGTTGTTTGTAGGCAGCCTCTTGGACAGCCTTCTCTGCAATGCAAGCATCATACCAGTAAGCACTACAGTAATTCTGTGCTGCCTATTAGAATTGTTCCTTTTCCTTAGCTTAGTGTCCACCTTTCAACAGACAGACAGTGACGCAGAAGCTTTTTGACGATTCCAGACAACGATGCTGGTTGAATAAGCCATGTTCTAGAAAAGATATATTTTGTACCTCTGTCTGCAGTGTTACTCATATTACTAATCCTTATTGTCTTGATCATATTTTCCATTAATGAGTCTTCTTTATTGAGCAAGAACTTCTCATAGGAATAAGGCATTAAAAAAAGAAGGGATTTTCCTGTGACTGAGTCTTATGCCCACAAAGCCGGTGTAATCTCATGATCAAAACCTGCTTAAGGGAAGGTGTTGCAACACTATCACATCAATCACAAAGCCACCATCTTCATGGCAGAATTTCCTGAAAAATTACTTTTGTCCTCTATCTACCATTCAGGTAGTTCATAATTCATCTGAAAAAAAGCTAACTTAAAAGTCGGGTTTGGTCTCTGTGCAATCTGCAGTCATTGGAATTCAAGTACTGTTTTCAGTAGGAACAATGCTTCACAACCAGTTGTTTGCTTCTCGGTAAAACACTACTTAGTGATGATGGGATAAGGAAGGGTATGTCTTCAAGAAGTCTTTTTGAAAAGCCTGTAATAGCTAATAAATGGCCTTGTGCTCCTTTGCTTGATCTATCACACATAGGCTTCAAGCAGCACAACTCCTAGAAGAAGAGAATCAGATGACAGTAATTTAAGAAAGAATTTCTTTCTTTCTAAATTCTGGCATCAGGTGATGTCTGTCACTGTTCATGCATGTAACCAACTAAATGTCAGTCCAGTTGCAGTAACAGAGGCTTTTCTTGATGTTCCCAGATACTGAGTTGACAACAGCCCTTGTATTTGTTTAGGGGGGGGAACTCCCATCAAGCAACCCGAACCTGTCCCCTCCTTTCACCTACAAGCAAATTTCATCTGACCACACCTAAAGCTACATTGCACTTGCTGAGATACAAACCCTCCTGCCAGCACCCTGCCTGAGCAGTCAGGGTGGAAGTTGCCAGAACCATGCCTGAATGGGTGCTGGGGTGGGCACTGGTGTTTCCTGCACAGCAACTCTTCTGTCTCTGTCCTTGGTGCCCAGCATGTCCCCACAGGTCCAGCTCACTCCTGCTCTGGGAAGTAGGTGTTTCCTGATCAGCCCTGTAGATTCCAGCTGCTCTGATGCAGGACTACCCTGCCAAAGACACTAGTTTATGGATCACTAACAACTCAGAAAAACCTCCTTCAAAACACATCCTCAAATGAAGGTACTATAACGGAGACTCTTTCATTACTATCTATCAGACGATTCAAGACATGAGGTGCAGTTTAGCCCTCTTATGACTGTCAACAGCCTGATGGCATTGCCTTAATTCAGATGGCTGCCTTGAAAGAAGTAGTTTTAAATAACTTCCCCTCTCTCCACACCCCTCCTCTCCCCCCCCCCCCCCGAGTTTTATTTCCTTCTTTCCAGGTTCTAAGGTCTGCTTTAAGGTCTGATAACCTTGAGTTTATATTAGTTAACCCCTTGTCCCTCCATGCACATACTTTTGCATTCACATACCCCACTGAAATGAATATTTATGGGGTCAAAATACAAAATTAAGCCTCTGTACATTTTTAAGGAGGAGGGATGTGGTTTTTTTTTCTCCACTGATTCAATCTTATCTTGAAAGAAAATCTCTTCTTTTGAGGACTCCCCCATATCTTTACCAGCCACCTCCCTCCCATGAACAGGTGGGAGAACTTGTCTCACAGGACAAGCAAGAAGACAGATAAACCATGATTTCGGAGCAAATTGTTCTTACGTGCTGCCTTATGAGCCCAGTCAGAGAAAGTCTTGTTCCCATACAGAGTTAAGAGGTGATTGTTTCAGTCCTACCTGCATTTGCTCATCAGCTTCTCTCCATCCTCCTAACACTGGCAGCTTAACTCCTTGACTGCAGTTCTGCAAGATGACAACTGAAAACAAAACAAATCAAAACAAACCTAATTTACTGTTGGAGAACCTGGAAGGGACTAAAATAGGTTGGACGTAGCTGGGAGTGAAGTTCTGTGTCCATGAGCTGGACTTCATACGCACCGAGGAGTGTCGCAAGCATGGTGGCCACCACCAGAAGGTAGGGACGGCCCGCAGGGCGCATGTCCTGTTGTCCCCAGAACTGGCCTGAGGGCTGTGTTTGGAAATGCCATGAAGGCAGCAGGTGCCGGGAGCATCCCTGGGTGCTGGGACAGCTGCAGACAGCGGCAAGACTGCCCTTCCCAGGGGACAGAGCTGTCTTGTGGCAGTGCTTTTGACAGGTCAGCCTTGCTCTTGTGTCCCCTCACAGTGGGACCACTGGGAGGTGTCACCAGCCTAAGAGTGGCCTGAGGCTGGCAGTGTGGACCATGTGGTGTCAACAGGTGGTGAGACTGCTTATGGCTGCCACAGCACTGATGGGCACTGCCATGTTGCTGTGGCATGGCAGGCAGCAAGTGGTGGGCAGTATGGGCTCCCCTGAGACCATGGCTCTGAAACAGGTGTGCAGCATACTGCTGGTCAGGCAGGGCTTCCGCCTGAGGGGCAGGAAGCTGTGGTACGTACATGTCCCACAGCCAAAAATCTCTTTGGAGGCTGAACTTCTCAGTGAATTCAACATTAGCAGAAACCTGCAAAGCACTGATTGAAGACAAGGTGCACTTTATGAAGGAAAATGCTTTAGAAGCTTCATCCAGAGAATCCAGTTGCACGGAGTATATCACCCGGAATCACTACATCACCTGCACCCTCTCAGCTGAAGAGGCCGCCTTCCCCATTGCCTATGTTATAACCCTGCACAAGGAGTTTGAGACCTTTGAGCAGCTCTTCAGGGCAGTGTACATGCCCCAGAACATCTACTGCATCCACGTGGATGCCAAGGCACCGGCCCACTTCCATCGGGCAGTGCAGCGCCTACTGGGCTGCTTCCCCAACGCCTTCCTCGCCTCCCAGGCGGAGCGGGTGGTCTACGGTGGCATCTCCCGCCTGCGGGCTGACCTCCACTGCATGAGAGACCTGCTGGCCTCGGGCGTGCCCTGGCGCTACCTGCTCAACACCTGCGGCCAGGACTTCCCCTTGAAGACCAACCGGGAGATCGTCCAGCTGCTGAAGCGCTTTGGGGGCAAGAACGTCACCCCCGGCGTGCTGCCACCCCCCCACATCACCTTCCGCACCAGATATGTGCACAGGGAGCAATTATACTCTCTCTTTTCTTTCATGCTTGTGACATTTGTGCGCAAGACACCCCCTCCCCACAACCTGACCATCTACTTTGGCTCTGCGTATGTGGCCGTCACCCGTCCATTTGTGGAGTTTGTGCTGCAGGACCAGCGTGCCATCGATCTGCTGGCGTGGTCTGAGGATACCTACAGCCCTGATGAGCACTTTTGGGTGACGCTCAACAGGATCCCAGGTCGGTCATCAGGTCTGGGGAGTGCACAGATGTCCCCACCATGGCACCTACCACCCAGCACTTGCTGCCACTTGGCCATTACGTAGTGACAGCTCTTCCGTGATGGCCACCACAGCTCACATCTCCAAGGAGGTGTTTCCAGATCTTGGTGGCTCTTGGTGGTGTCCACCAGCAGGTTTTTCACCAGTTCTACTGTTTCACATGGAAAAACTGCCCAGCAGGTGAGAGCCCATGTTTGCAGCGCTAGTGGCAAGTGAGGAAGGCACACTGTGCCCCCCTGAGTGTGACATCCTGGACATTCATCCACTTGGCTGAGCTGTCTCCTGGAAGATTAGCACCCATGACTGGGTAAGGGGCATCCTAGGATGGATGTGGGCATTGCAGTGTGACAGATTCAAGGATGCTGCTGCATGCCTTCCTGAGTAGCAGCTGCTGCTGTGCCCCATGAAGGCCCAGAGGTGCAGCATGGCATCCCCTTGGCTTACACACTCTTTGGCCATACTGCCTCACTAGTCCCACCTGCACTTCCTTATACCATCTTGCTTTTCCAAAAGCCACCAAAGGGGGTTGTGAATTTCCAGGTGCCTGCGTACACTGGTGGGCTGCACAACTTCACTTATAGAGCTGAGAGTATGTGCTTGCCCGCCTATACATGAACCACTATATACGGCCCTGCATATTCCCAAACATAAACACATGGCCCCAAAAGCCAGCAAAAGTTAGGATTGATTTCGATCAGGTCTTGCAGAATAATACTCCCAAGGGTCATATGTACAGCATTTCAGGCAGATATGTGAAGTACAAACTCCCGTGCCCCAGCTTATAAAGTGCAGGAGAAAAGCTTGAATCACTTTGTGGCACAGAAATGTAAAGAAGTTGTCCCCTTCAATAGAGAGAGATGCCAATGAGGAAACATAGGCTGCTTCAGGGGACTGGTGGAGACTAGCCTGTTGGCAGCTAGGTTTTAACTGATGTGTTGATTTGATCCTATAATCACAGAGAGAGGACTTGGAAGGCCACAGCAAATCAGGCAGCCTTTTATGATGCAAGATTCCCAGCCCCGTGTCAGTTTACATTCAGTGTGTATTACAGAAATTCCGACACAGTGGCTCGTTTTGTGTGAGATGCTTATGTTTGTCTTCGTAATATGTGGTACCAGTGCAAGGTGGAAAGGGAGTGGGCTGTCTCTTGGGGCCAACACATACAGATCAGCTCTCACTTGAATTGCAGTGGCAAAAAAAAACAGGAAGAACTTAAAGGAGAAACAGGTTGTGTTGCTTTTGTTCTATGAAGAGCTCCAGTGTTTTTAGCTGGAGCTAAAGCACCTCCAGTGTTGTTAGCTTCCGCTAACAAGGAAAGACATGAAACTAAAGGCTCTGGAGGAGGTGGCCTGTCTTTCCAGTGACTCGTGGCTGTCTTCATACCCAAGCAGTGCAGTTCTGCTAGTGGCTATTTCTAAGACTTGGTGGTGGCAAACTCGTTTCTAGAACAGTGCTCAGTATGGCTGCTCATGAAGAGGCTTTTCCTCCCTCCCTGTTTTCAGGCACAAGAACAAAACTCTACTAACCAAGACAGAGTGGGAAATGAGGGCTGAATAAAAGGAGAGTGAGCAACTTATGATAAAGTTTATATTAACTTTCACATCACCACCAATTCTCAAACAAACTATTTACACAAACAGGACCCCAGAACAGCTTTTGAATCTGAAGTCAGTTGCTCAAACAAATATTTAAAAGAAAATGTGTTAAATCCATTTTTTTCTCAGTGCTGAGCCATACTTTCCCCCAGTCTTGAATTAACTTACAAAAATGCTTAGATTGCTCTATCTGGGAGATGGTGAATAATGTGAAGTCAGTAATTTTGTATTCCTGGAAGGCAGTGCCTTCCAGTGTTTCTGTGGATGTCCTGGGGTCATTCCTGTTTTGTCAGTCATCCTGCCGCTTCTCCACTGTGTCAGCATTTTCCAAGTCTTTCTGCACACCACATTTACTGCCATCTGTTATGAACAGGTTTTTAATTGAGGATGGTAATACACATCGCAGGCCATTTAAAGTATCTCTCCCCTACCATCACTTCCTCTTTTTGTCTTTTATGAAGTGTTATCTTCAGCTTAATGCTTTCTACAGAAAAATAACATTTTCTGAATTTTCCCCAGGACAAACCCACACTTTTTGGCATGTTATTTTATTTGATAACAGCCCAATATACAGAGAGGGAGAAATAAAGTAGTAAGTTCTGGTTACAGCTGCCACATATCTCTGTTTATGGCAAAGTGCTATGGTGGTTCTGCTGTTAGATCAGATGGTCTTTTTGCATCTGTTATATAAGTTGTGACTTGGTAATTGCAAACATCCATCCTTACTTACCAAGAACAAGCTGTTCTTAAAAACACAGTGCAAAGCAAGCAAACAGAAAAAAACCTCTGATGCTTAACCTTTCTCCTATCCAATTTCTCAAAAAAAGCCCCAGTCTCTCCTGACATTATACAGTGCCTTCATGGTCTTGTTTGTCCTCCACTGTGCTTCCCTTCAAGCTCACAAGCAAAATAGCTGTTGGGTTATGGTAACTGTGGAGATACTGTACTTGTTGCCATCTATGAAAGGAATAGAAATAGCACTAAATATCTACAAAACCTTGCTTTGCTTTTACCTTTATTTTTTAGAAAACCCCAGGATTAGGATGATGACACCTTCAGCTACCATTTCAGCACCGAGGGCTTCTTGCATGTATTGCAGTCACAAGGTGAAAATGTGCTTTACAGAACGGCTGTAATCACCCCATTTAGGATTGTGGTTAACCAGCAAAATAAATAGCCTATATTAATCCATGCTTTAAATGAAGTTACAAAATCAGGAAGACAGGATAATTAGCCTTAAAAAGAGAGGTCAGAACTGGAGATTAAAATGTTAAAAGTTTATTTTAGCTAAAATCATATTTAAAGGGCCTAGGATCCCTCTCTTTGCACAAGTCCCACAACTCCAAAGCAGTGCTATTACGCATTTCACGCAAGCTCGACAAGGTTTTGTTCCCATCTCATTGTGATGAAAATGTATATATAGTATATAGAGTATGCTGGTTTTGTCTGGAAAAGAGTTAAATTTCTTCATAGCAGCTAGGATAGGTCTATGTTTTGGATTTGTGCTAGAAACAGTATTGATAATTCAGGGACGTTTTTCTCGTTGTTGAGCAGTGCTACACAGAGCCTATATTCATGTGAAGCTATTATGTGTCAGTAGCCTACCGTTCAAATAGCACCAGGAGGGTACTGCTGATTGGGAAGGTGGAAGGTTACATCCCAACTAGAAGGAAGTGCAGCAGGAGGGCCAGGAGACCTCCTTGGATGGATAAGGAGCTCCTGAGGAAAATTCAAATGAAAAAAGATGCTTATAATAAGTGGAAGCAAGGACAGGCGGCCTGGGAAGAGTACAGGGATGTTGTCCAGGAAGCTAGGGACCAGGTTAGGAAAGCTAAGGCCCAGTTAGAATTAAACTTGGCTAGGGGTATTAAGGATAACAGGAAGGGATTCTACAAGTACATAGCAAATAAAAAACAGACTAGGGAGAATGTAGGCCCCCTCCGGAAGCTCTCGGGAGAACTGGCTACGCAGGATTTGGAGAAGGCTGAGGTTCTAAATGACTTCTTTGCCTCGGTCTTCACTGCCAAAGGCTCTGACCAAACCACCCAAGTCTTGGAAGGCAGATGCAGGGACTGTGAGAATGAAGACCTTTTGCCCACTGTAGGAGAGGATCTGATTCAAGACCATCTTAAGAACCTGAATGTGCACAAGTCCATGGGTCCTGATGAAATCCATCCGCGGGTCCTGAAGGAGCTGGTGAATGAAGTTGCGAAGCCGCTGGCCATCATATTTGAGAAATCATGGTAGTCAGGTGAAGTTCCCAATGACTGGGGAAAGGGAAATATAACCCCCATTTTCAAGAAGGGGAAAATGGATGACCCGGGGAATTACAGACCAGACAGTCTCACCTCTGTGCCTGGCAAAATCTTGGAGCAGATTCTCCTGGAAGGCATGCTAAGGCACATGAAAAACAACAAGGTGCTTGGTGACAGCCAGCATGGCTTCACTAAGGGGAAATCCTGGCTGACCAATTTGGTGGCCTTCTATGATGGGGCTACAGAACTGATGGACAGGGGTAGAGCAGTTGACGTCATCTACCTGGACTTGTGCAAAGCATTCGACACTGTCCCACACGACATCCTTGTCTCTAAATTGGAGAGACATCAATTTGATGGATGGACCACTTGGTGGATAAAGAACTGGCTGGATGGCGGCACACAAAGAGTTGTGGTCAATGGCTCAGTGTCCAGCTGGAGACCAGTAACGAGTGGTGTCCCTCAGGGATGGGTTTGGGACCGGTCTTGTTCAACATCTTCGTCGCTGACATGGACAGTGGGATTGAGTGCACCCTCAGCAAGTTTGCGGATGACACCAAGCTGTGTGGTTCTGTTGATACGCTGGAGGGAAGAAATGCCATCCAGAGGGACCTAGACACGCTTGTGAGGTGGGCTGATGCCAGCCTCATGAAGTTTAACCATGCCAAGTGCAAGGTCCTACACCTGGGTCGGAGCAATCCCAGGCACAGCTACAGGTTGGGCAGAGAAGAGATTCAGAGCAGCCCTGTGGAGAAGGACTTGGGGGTGTTGGTTGATGGGAAAATGAACATGAGCTGGCAGGGTGCACTTGCAGCCCAGAAAGCCAACCGTATCCTGGGCTGCATCAAAAGGAGCGTGACCAGCAGGTCGAAGGAGGTGATCCTGCCCCTCTACTCTGTTCTTGTGAGACCTCACCTGGGGTATTGTGTGCAGTTCTGGCGTCCTCAACATAAGAAGGACATGGAACTGTTGGAACAAGTCCAGAGGAGGGCCACGAGGATGATCAGGGGACTGGAGCACCTCCTGTATGAAGACAGGCTGAGGAAGTTGGGGCTGTTCAGCCTGGAGAAGAGAAGGCTGCGTGGAGACCTCATAGCAGCCTTCCAGTATCTGAAGGGGGGGCTATAGGGATGCTGGGGAGGGACTCTTCATTAGGGACTGTAGTGATAGGACAAGGGGTAACAGGTTAAAACTTAGACAGGGGAAGTTTAGATTGGATATAAGGAGGAAGTTCTTTACTATGAGTGTTGTGAGGCACTGGAAAAGGTTGCCCAGGGAGGCTGTGAATGCTCCATCCCTGGCAGTGTTCAAGACCAGGTTGGATGAGGCCTTGGGTGACATGGTTTAGTGTGAGGTGTCCCTGCCCATGGCAGGGGGGTTGGAACTAGATGATCTTAAGGTCCTTTCCAACCCTAACTATTCTATGATTCTATGAGTGATTGTACACACATGCATCCTACTGAGGCTGTTGCAAAAGTGGAGGCTTATTTCTGAAGTGAAGTTTTTAGATCTCTTGGGCTGACATCTTATTTATATCACAAAAGCTGCTTTTTGTGAAGAAGCTTGACAAAAAGGTTAGCAGCCAGGCATGTGTTGATGCATATTCCTAAGTATTTCATCCTAGTTCTGTGGAGAAAGGTCGTAGAGAGTGGACATAAGCCTGAACGCACAGATGTTAAAAGGACTAATTACTTGATATTCTGTTACCTAATTGCAGGTGTCCCAGGCTCCATGCCCAATGCATCATGGGAAGGTGACTTGAAAGCAGTGAAGTGGATTGATATGGAAAAGGCACATGGAGGTTGTCATGGTAATGTGTACATGCTTCTCCGTCACTTCTTCCTCAGTTATAGCAGTTTCACATGGGCATAACTACATTGTAGTCAGTGAAATTACACCAATATTACTCAGAATCACCTAGTGGAAAATCTAGTATGAGTAAAAGTATCGGTTTCTCTTCACTGACAGAAGGAAATTCCCCTTTGCTGTGTCTTAGTCTTGTCTGAAAAAGAGTCTGAATTAGTAATGACTCTTTTCTGCTCTGTCTCCTTATTTTGCTCATTATTTATTCTGAAGTAACTTTCTTCATTTCATCCCATTGTTCACGCTTACTCCCACTGCACATCCAATAGACCTTTCAGCATGTTTGTTCCATTGGAGATCATTTATAGTGGCTTTGCAGATAAAACTTTTCAAAATTATTTGGATTTTGATTCTGACATTGCTTTTTTCCTTTTTCTTTTGTCAGGCCATTATGTCAGAGGCATTTGTGTATATGGAACAGGTGACCTCAAGTGGCTTTTTAACTCCACCTGTATGTTCGCAAATAAGTTTGAGCTTAAAACGTACCCCCTGACTGTGGAGTGCCTGGAGCTGAGACATCGGCAGAGAACCTTGTCACAGAGTGAGGTTCAGGTAGAACCCAGTTGGTATTTTTAGCTAGCAACACCCCAAGCTACAACATCAATAAAGGTGGTCAAGAGAATAGCTGCAGCAGTCTTTATTTTTGCTGTGCTAGAAGCGTAAACCCAAGAGACGTGTTTCTTTAGTGTATTCTGCAGATGTAGCTCAGGTCAGCTTATTTCACACAGCCTGCAAAGCTCACCTTCCACTTAATGCCCAGAAGCTGAAGTGCAGGAGATACAAAAAGAGGTACCAGGCCAAAGGTCCTCTTGCAGCCAGAGGAGCTTTGACCTTTTGCCATTTTTAATGGGCTGTTTTCCAGCCCAAACTTTTGTCTTGCTACACTGTCATTGCTATCTTTTTCTATAAAAATATAAACAGAGTCATGCATCCCCAGCATTTTTCCCATCTAAAAGACAAGTGTGTACATTTGGTATGCAAAAATGCAACAAAAAACTCTCTACATGCAGATTTTGGCTCACCGCTGTCCTTAAATCGTCATGTGTAAGGACACAGAGGGAGAGATGGAAGGCGGGAAAGGAAGTAGCAAGATAGATATTTTCAGGACTGAAAAAGCAATAACTGAACTTTGGCAATAAGTCAGTAATTCTGCAATAAGTCAGTAATTCTGTGTCATATTTGGACATGGCATAAGCCTTCTTCTCAAGCTGACTTCCTTTCATCTTCATGCAGTGGTTAATGCACATACTTAACCTTGGGGTTCACTTCCTCGCAGCCCTAGTTTTATTCCCTAGTAACAGCCACTAGAGGGAGGCCATTAGATATCTGAGCAGACTTTCCCTTCGAAGTCTGCATAACCCTGTAAGGCACACAAAATCTCAGCAGACCAGGCATGCCACAAATAAAAAAATCAGTGCTTGGGAATGTTTTAGCATGACAGAAGGTAAAAGTTATTGGTATTGGTTATGGTGTCCTAAAAAACAAAGCAAGGAAGTAAAACTATGAATGCTTCTTCCTGTAACTGATGGTTGTGTTTACATGGCATGTTAGCAGTACTGTTGAGTGACAAAACCAGCAGCATGAAGGCAGGATAAACTGAGATGCCTGAATGTAAGGAGGGGGTGTGCTGCCCTCCTGTCTTTCTTCTAAACAAACGATCGTGGCTCACAGGGTACCTCTTGGATAATAGCAACTTTATGCTGTATATATGGTGTACCATTGCTGATTTCAGGGTCTTTTAATAAACTGGATTGCAAACTGCAGCAGTTCAGAAATGGCAACGCATCATATTTAGATGTCCTGAAGCATGGCTAGCAACCTGCAGGGAAGGTTCTCAGGAAGCAGGTTCTGCATCAGTCAGCTTCTTCCGCAAGTATAGCTGCCAACACCTAATAATGCAGATCTCTGCAGAAAAGCACGGAGAATTTACCGCAGGAGCAAAACTTTAGTGAAAATCCTGTTCAGGTTTTTTTGGGAGAAGGAAGAAGAAAAGGGCTTTGCTAACTTGCTGCCATGGTCGCAGCTGGAGAGAGAAGTGTTTCAGAGGGCGTAATTCTTCTAAAGAGTGAGTTTTAGGATGTCCAACTCAAGAGAGGTCTGGAAGTAGCTCCCATTTGCTCTGAGAAGATGAATTGCCCCCAAATTGAAACATCCCAAATAAGATAAAGGCATTCTCAGTGTTTTGTGAAAATATTTAAAATTTTGCTGAGAGTGCAAACAAGATGATATTTCATTGTTCAGACTCCACAGGTGAATGACAAAATATCACCCAACCACAGAAGCAATAAGCTTGGCAGTTTGAAACTCTGGATATAAAAAAGATGTTGTACTCTGAGCCTGATCAAACAGAGATATTTTAATTCTGGGTTATATTACCTGTTCAAGTAAGAACACAGAGAAACATCACAGATTTCTGTCCAGCTGTGATTTAGGATGTTTGTTTATTCATGAATGCTACTCCAGATTATGTTTTTCTGTAAGTAAATGAATATGTTTTCATGGTGTGACTGATTTTTGTGTGCAATACCTGCCTCATCAGCCTACTCTTTTTTTTTTTCTTTTTTAAACAAAGACCATTACAGTTAATCACTATAAAAGAGAGAAAAGAACAATTTCCGGCAGCTGAGCTTCAGAAACGCATCTATACCAATGAGATCTATCGGTACTTTGGCACAGCAATAAAATACAGGCAAATACGAAAAACTGGAGGAGATGGCTGGTAGGGAGGACATTAAGAAGGGTTAGACTCCTGTGCACAACGGTAAAAACAGTGATTCCGTTTAGCAGCTGTGGTGTACCTCCATAGAGGGAGCTTGCCCTCTGAGTAACCCCTCCCTGCACCACCTTGTTTTCTACAATTATGGCAAGGCACTAAACCGGTGAACTCTTTCCCAGTGCTATTTGTAGCAAGTTCCTACCTTCGAAATCAGTAGGAACAGAGAAGCAAAGTTTTCAGCTCTGTTCAGTCTCTCACTGATCGGGACAGGGCACGCAAAGGACATGCTCTCTAACAGGTTTCCAAGTAAGTCAGACTTTCCACTGGAGACCTTGTGGCCACACATTTCCCAGAGCCAGCCAACATCAGCAGGAGCTGCAATTTCGGTCTTATACAGTATTGGTGGCCACAGGTCTGCTGTTCCCTGTTGTGAGTAACTGGCGAGTTTCACACTGTTTCCCTTTCAGCTGAACACACCCAAATACTTCCAAAGATCCCCCACCCCTAAGAAGATGTGTAATCTGTGTGTGCCAGCAACACTGGAGGAATATGTAGCAGCCAAAAATGTCTGTCACTGTGCGCCAGATTGCAGCAACTGCGCAACAGTCTCTGGGAACACAGTTGTGAGAGCAGGTTCAAGAAAAGCAACATACAGCTCTGTGCCTCCTTGTGTTCACTTGCGTTAACAACACCACAAATGCTGCTCTAGGGCTCTGGTTTAGGTGCCTGAAAAAAATTCCCTCGATGTTTTGAAGAGAAGGGAAGGCAAGTTCTAGGCCTAGCCTGTGGCTCGATGTTTGGCAGCAGGTGTCCTTTTACATTCACTTAAGCAATGGAAGTAATGTGAATGTATTTATATTTTCAGTTTTACCTCTGCTATTACACATCACCTTAGAGGCCATATAGTAGCTAGATAATACGGGTCCAATACTGAACCACCCTCACTCCAAATGAATAACAGAAATGGTATAAAAGAAAGGAAAGGTGACACTGAAATTATTGAAGGGAGCAAAAGCCAAACATGCCTTAATGTGCTTGTGGTCTGGTTTGGTTTTCTCTCTTGCAATATCCCACTCTTCTGTTAAAGTACACACAGCCTTGTTCTGCAAACTGTGTCTCACTTAATTTGTGGGCACCATTTGTGGGCACCACAGCTACTGCAAACCCACCATTTGGCACTCACAACTGCAAGATGGAAGTTCTGATGCACAGGAATAAATAACTGCATAGCCACAGGAGGGATAAAACTAAAGTAGCCAGTAGGACTGTCTTCTCACTGATTTCTGAGCCAGTTGAAGGGCCAAAGATGCTGGTGGACCTAACTTCTGTGAGCTGTGAAGTCAGCAGTGACATCAGTTATCACCAAACAAGGAATGAAGTAGAAACTGTGGGTACTGCAAACATGGGGGGTGGTGTCAAGATCTGCCCATTAGCACACACTGATTCAGAGGTCAAGACACTGTTATGCTGTAAAAGCGCAGGAATACAGTAACGTCCTCAGCTTCCACCAGGAACCAGCCTGCCAACATGCAAATATCTATGTCTTGACATAAGGCTTAAAAAAAGAGTTATTGGCATTATGTCACAGCAGAGAGGCACTTTTGCTGGCCCTCTGCAAATAAATCCATTCTTAATAGATCTGTATGAAGGTGGATTTTCATTGCTCCAGATTCACAGTGCCACACTACAGCTACGGTTTTGTTTGCCATCTCCTTCCTCTCCCCATGCCAGAGAAGCCAGGGAAGAGTTAGAACTCTGCTAACAAGGGGCCATTCAAGAAAGGTCTTTGCCTAGCAAATTTTCCCAGCTCATGGCTCCTGACTACCAGCAGGAATTTTGCCATGGTGGTGGTTTGCTATGTGAGCAGAAAGGCTCACTGGTAGGAATGATAAAACAACTGGCTGGTGTGTGAATGTCATTTCTGGGTGGAGCACCCAAAGAGGCTGGAAATTGGCAGGAGAAACAGGCAATCAAGGCGAAACAATGGCATTAAGTAGGTAACGGGTAAACCTTACTATCTAATCTGATCAAATATGTCAAACCAAAAGTAAAGGTCCTGCTTTAAACAAAGGAGCCTTCCTGGTTTTGATCAGCAAGTCATGCAGACAGCCATTAGCACTATACTGGCTAGATGCTTCAGGCCCCACGGAAAACCCTATGTGCCTAAACCAAACATTTGCATCCCATGTAATGGCACAAAAATGCAAATCGCCTCCACAAAAGGCAGGAAGTTTCATCAAATGTGGTCTGTAGTGTTAGCCTTTTTCATGCACCCACTATTAAGGGCAGTCAAGGAGGTATTCAGAGGAAATAGGAGCTCAGAGTAAGTGGGACCCAAGAACTCAGAGGAGGACAACAGAAAAGAAAGCCTGAGGACAAAGGTTGGGTGGAGGTAGAAGGAAAACAAAGATGGGAAAAGGTAAACACAGCACGTGGGAGAATGAACTGGGAATGTGAAAAACTGATAAGTTAAATGGAATAAAAATACTGTTTTGGTAAATGTCATTTGTTCATTGTAATCCTTCTTTTCCAGATAACCTGGGGGAAACTCTGGTTTGCCATAGAGCTCATAAAACTGCAATAGGCGGCCCTTTCTGGTTTTGTTTTGTTTAGTGAAAGCCTGACAACCATAGTAACTTTCTTTTGGGCAGAATATGTTTGTCCTAGTCTCTTAAGTGTTCATTTACAACAGAACAAAGTTCTAGCCTGAACACTTCTTTAGAGTCTTTTATGGAGGCAAGAGTGGAAGACAGTTCATTGTGTTTGACACACAAATGTGTCAAACAGATGACAGTGTCAAACAGATGACAGTGACTGGTCATCTTCACAGCACAAAGTATTCTACTTCTGTTTAAATGAAATTTCCTGTATTTCAACTTGTGTCCATTGCCCTTCATCCTGTCACTGGGTACCACTGAGAAGATCCTGGCTCCATCTGCTTTACTGTGCTCCATCAGATACTTCTACACGTTGATAAGATGCCTGCCCCTGAGCCTCCACTCCTCCAGGCTAAACAGTCCCAGCTTTCTCAGCCACTTCTTGTATGAAAGATGCTCTAAACCCCTAATCATCTTCATAGCCCTTTACTGGACCTGCTGTGGTATGTCTCTCTCTGCCTTGCTCTTTGAGCCTAGAACTGTATCCAGCACTCCAGCTGTGTCTCACCACTGAGCAGAGGGGAAGGATCACCTCCCTCAACCTGCCTATTGCAACCCAGGGTGCCATCTACCTTCTTTGCTACAAGGACATGTTGCTGCCTCATGGTCA